CCCAGCACTGCAGGAGGGTCTCTCCAGAGCAGGGCAGGATCCCCTCCCTGCCCTGCTGCCCACGCTGCTGGGGGGGCAGCCCAGGCTGCCAGGGGCTTCTGGGTTGCACCTGCACATTGTTGGTTTGTGTTGAGCTTTTCATCAACCAGCACCCTCAAGTCTTTCTGCTCAGAACACTGGCAAAGTACCATCACACCAAATGAAACTCATTCCTAAAAGCTGAACAGATGCTTACCCTTCCTAGCTGAGGCAAACAAGTATGCACCTAGATCACAAACAGCAATAAAAAAAATGATGAAATTAGAATCAGTGGAGGTATTTTTGTTGTACTTCTATGAAAGGATAAGAAAAAAAAAAATACTACCTAACCTATCCCAACATCCATTAAAGAGGATCTTCCATGTGTTTACCTGCAAATATGTTTTTCACTGAAAGTAATTATTGTTAGATCCTTGACAGTGACAGTCCCTGCTCAAAGCTCAAAGGCTTAGAACCCAAACCTGAAAAAACAGTTTTACAGTAATAGTCCTCATTTTTTCAGAACTGTTCTTGTGCAGTTAAGAAGAGAGTTGAGGCTTTGTGACAATTTGGTAGCAGCTCACTTCACAGTATATGCAGGAAAGGCAGGTTTTTCTGCTTTGGTTTGGGTGGGTTTTTTCCCCCCTAAAATCAAACAAGATCAAAATATAATGGTTTAGAGATTAAATACAAACTACGCCCAGCTCTCTTGAGTTTCCACTGAATTTTTGGGACTAGCAATTCAAGCAACTACAGCCTCTGAAAATTCACTTAAATATCATGCCAAGAATGACTTCTTAAATAGAGCATGTTCCAGGTATTCTAGTATTATTTTCCTGGATCACTCTATTAAAAGCTTTACGCATGCTCCTTCATCACACAAAACATCACAAGTTTTGAAAAAACAGAGGATTCAAAAGCATATTCATTATCTCTGCTGGGCTTGGAAGAATTTGGCTCCCAGTGCCCCAAAAAGGCCATGCTGTAGTTTCTCCCTTCAAACCTTGCTAATGATAGTCCTGACAGAGCCCTTCCTTGTGTTCTCCAGTGTTTCTCAAGACCAACAGATGTGAGCTGTGCAGAACAGCCACACCATCAAGGTGGCAACCTTGCAATAAAACCCAGTGTTCCACTGGAGCTGTAGGTGAGCCCCTTGTTAAAATGCACCAACTGAACCCCATTACTGCACTGTATTGAGAACAGTGTTAAAACAGCTGCCAACACACAAGTACTAGGCACAAGAAAATGTGTTCTCTACACATGTCCAAAAGCACAGGTACTGACAGAAATCATTACTTCAGACTGCTACTGATTTAATTTGCCCACCCATATAACTATCACACAAGGCAGAAGCATGAAGTTAAGTTCTAAGTTGACCTTGACTTTCTGGGCATTTCCTCAGTGAGGAACAGCATTCCTGGGCATTCAAATGTGATTTTTAAAGCTAAAACTGGAGACATATCCATATGAAGAGTGGAAAACTGTTGCCTCTACTATTACAAATTCACAAATAAGTGGATTTGATCATGCCAATAGGCATACTTTAATCCAGTGTGTTTTTCCAAGTACCTAGAAGGGCTACCATGTGATCCCTGAATTATTCAGAGAATAAAACCTGTGCAGTAAGAAGTACTACTCCAAGCCATGGTATTTATGGAAAGCTCCTGCACTGCATCTACAAACCAAATGACCACAGTAAAGGATAAGAAACAGCAAAAGCTTTGAAGGAGCTTTAAGAACTTGATATCTCACGGAGTGATGATTACAGAATAACCTCGAAGACCTGAGTGTCCAAAACCAGGTGCAGTTGTGACTGGCCCAAGACATCAAGTCAAAAAGGCTTGGTCACATCATTAAGTTTCTGTGCACACCCAAGAGTGAGACAGATGAGATCAGCACATCTGACTTCAGACCCGTCCTGCAATTCAGCACTTTCCACGTGTGATTGTCTTTCCTCAGTGTGTGCAGGCAGGACGGAGCCATGAGCAAATTGGAACCCAACCTGCAGCTAAGAAGCAGGAGCAGCCTTAATGAGAGCCAAAGCTATTATCTAGGTTAGGCTGAGGAGTAGATGAGAAACACCAGGAACTGCTCTGCTCAACTGCCCAGCCCAGAACAATTAAGGAGAAGAGCTAAGCAAGCAGATTCAAACTTTTGGTCCATGGAACTTTGAACATTTCAATGCCAGAGGTGCCATTCAGAGTTAGCAGGAAGAGGAAACCTCAACAGCTATTTTAAAAGAAGCCAGGTTCAAGTAACTCCTTTAGAGTTACTGATTCGACAGCACGCACCAAACCCTGACAAAACTAACCCTGGTAATTCCACCCTTTTTTAAGAAAACACTACCCACTGTGAGTAAGTTCTGCCTACAGCTGACTTCACATGTAAGATATTTTTTGCAGATGCTAGGACAACTTCTTTCATTGATAAGCAGCATAATTAGCTTACACGTCTGTGGGCCTGGTATATTTAGATCCAGCATTTCCTCAGAAGAGCAGGAGGCTGGATAAGTTTACACAGTTCAGTAGGCACAACGTAAACAGCAATGTAATCATATGACAGCCTGAAAAATAATCTGATTTCTCCACAAGGAGCTGCTGTTTCCAGAAGCAGTGTTTGATCTCAGAGGCAACACTCCCACTGCTGAGCTGGTTTTGCTTACAGAGGTTCTGGACTGCATTAACACCAGGACTGTGTTCTTGTATCCTGTGACAGCAAAGAAAGAGCATGGCCTCACTGAAGGGTTCTCAGCTAACAAGAAGTCTGTCACATCACAGCTTGATCCACGCAGTAGATTAAAGAGCACATTGCACTAGATGTGTTCTCGGGCAACACGAGCACTTTAATGATGCTTTTAAGTGCAACTGAGGAAAGAGATGCTTCCAGAGCCCATATGATACTTGCATGCAGAGTAAAAGCCATGGTCCTTTCCTTGGCAGGAACACAGAATCCCAGAATCATTAAGGTTGGAAAAGACCTCCAAGATCATCAAGTCTAATTGTCAACCCAACAGTACCATGACCACTAAGCTATGTCCCCAAGTGCTATGTCTATATGTTCTTTGAACCCCTCCAGGGATGGGGACTCCAGCACCTCCCTGGGCAGCCTGGGCCAAGGCCTCACCACTCTAGCAGGGAAGAAATTCTTCCTCATATCCAATTAAAATCTCCCCTGGTGCAACTTCAGCCCATTGCCTCTCATCCTATTGCTGGTTACTTGGGAGAAGAGACCAACCCCCACCTCACTCCAACCTCCTTTCAGGGAGCTGTCGAAAGCAATAAGGTCTCCTCTCAGCCTCTTCTCCAGACTAAACACTCCCAGGTCCCTCAGCCACTCCTCACAAGTCATGCTCCCCACACCCCTCACCAGCTTTGTTGCCCTTCTCTGGACCCACTCCAGCCCCTCAAGGTCTTTCTTATCCTGTTGTACCCAAAGCTGTGATACTCAAGCTGTGGCCTCTCCAGTGCCCAGTCCAGGGGCACAAACACTCCCCTACTCCTGCTGGACACATTAGTTTTGATCCAGGCCAGGATGCTGGTGGCCTTCTTGGCCACCTGGGCACATGCTGGCTCCTGTTCAGCCATCTGTCCACCAGCACCCCCAGGGCCTTTCCTGCCAGGCAGCTGACCATGAAATTACACGTTTTACTTAGTGCTAGTTATCTGAAGGGATGAACAGTTTCTTGAACAGTAAAGAGGTAACGTCCCAATGAAAGCTTAGCGGTGTTCCTTCCCCACCCAAAAGAGCATTTTAATGTTTTCAGATATCAGGTGATATAAAATCCTGGAAAAATGTAAGATCTAAGTGTTTGTTAACCTGTAACAGAGAAGAGTTTACCTTAAGCTGTCCCACTACCATACTGAGTATACAGCTGTCAGGTGTAGGTTGGTGGTCTTGTGCTGTGATGCTGTGTTGTATTTTTTGGAAAGGCAGGCTCTGCAATGAAAAGAAAGTAACATAAGGAAACGCACAGTCATTGTGTTATTTAACTCACAAAAAGATGGAACAAATCCAACATTATGAAGTGTTAGACTATTTTGGTAGTACTGCGTGGAGATTTGTTGCCACTCTACACTACTCAGGGTGGGTTGATCCTATCAGTTGTGTTTTTCAAGCACTGAGATGTGAAATACACCACCTTATCTGTCAAGCAGTACCTTTTCCTCATCTAATTACACAGCCTGAAGGGCTTCAGTTCATTTGCAAGCTGAAAGTTCATATGATGAAGGCACAAAGCTTCTCAGCTGTGAACAGCATTAAAAGCTTGTTTACCAGACAACTCCACATTTGCTTGTTTGCTGAAGTGGTTCTAAAAACAAAGAAAAGGTGGTTGACCAAGAACCAGTGCTCAGGACTTGAAATCCACATATCCACCTTTCCCCTTTTTTCTTTCTGTGCTTACAGCACCTGTGGAGAACCAACACATCAAGAGGCACCACCTTTGCCATGTACCAGGCAGGAGAACAGGGAAAGGAAGAGGAGGTGGAGATCAAAATCACGCACTGAAAAGAATGAAGCTTTCCACACTCATGTAGCAGATGCAACTATGCCTGGAGTTAAGTGTGGAAGGAACACACCATGACAAACACCAGACATTGGGGAGTAATTCCTCTCTTTCAACACAGACCACATTGACATTCCAGCTGTGGATGACTCCAAGCAGTGAACATCAAATATCTGAGGGATCTTAGAGTCCTGTCACACAAATGCAATCTTGGCACTGTTCTATCAAAAGCTGCATCAGTGCTTGATGCTTTAGAAGTGGCCACTCAGCAGAGATGGAGCTCTGAGTGGCCACAACTGCTGCTCAGAGTCCAGCCCAGGACAGCAGCATGGGACCATTTACACCTCAGGTTTTACTTTGAGACCTTTGCTTCATTTCACCAATTTATTAACAGGCTGAGGCAGACTCAAACATGTCCTGTGGCAAGTTCTGCATTTCACTCTAGTGGAAGGAGTCTGAAAGAGTTCCTAGAAGGCTGAGGTACAAGAGCAGGAGCTCCAAGTCCTGCTGTCAAGGATGTGAAGTACATTCTTGGCTCTAGGAAGAATACTAGGAAGCTAAATCCTTAGATAATAGAGCATATAAACTGTGGAAGATCAGGACCTAGGGAAGCAAAGGAAGTGTACACAGCAGCCCTCTAGTCAGAGGGACACTATTCAAGAACACTTTCTAACGAAGCCTGCAGTGTTTCCTCTTGGCTGGGAGAACAAGCCCAGCCTACTATGAACTGCAAAGTGAGCCAGGAGGTTTGTAATATGGAATAGACATTTAGTAACTGAAAAAAAAACCAAAAAACTCCAGAGCAGTCTTTTCTGAACTAGCAGCAGCATATTTCCAGGGTCACTATCCCAAACTATCTCTGAGCACAGGCTGGGACACTGCACACCCCTCCTTTGACTGGAACACACTGGAGCCTGGTCCCACCTCAGGACAGCAGTATGGTTGCTTACAACATGCATCTGTACTGGAGAGAAGCATTTCTTGATATGAAGAATGTGTCCTCTGACACTAAAACTTGTCTGGGCTTTCACTACCAAAGCCAGGGAATCCTCCTTGAAGTCAGGTTAAGAAATTCTGTAAGAATAAAGTCGAGTAGCTTAAACTCAGCCCTGGCAACAAAGCTACTTGTGCCAGCATCCTCCTTGCTCTGGGAGGTTCACAGAACCACAGGATTATCTCAAATGCTCACTGTAACTCAGGTTGCCCCCTGATTAGGGCAGGCACTCCATTTGAAACAGCTCTGGAGTCCAGGACCAATTAGGACAGAAGGAACAAGTGTCAGCTCCCATTCTCTAACACTGCATGTGAGCCAGGGCTGACAAAACCCTGTCTTTACAACCTTGCCCTGCTGTATTAGCACTATCTGGCAGAGCAGGTTGAAAAGGCACCATCATGTCCTTGTTATACAGCAGAGAACCTGCTGTAAAATAAAATCCCACCTCTCGGTGCTTGCATGGATTAACCAGCCAGGCACCCAAGAACAACAGACTGCACACATGCAAAATAATTTCAGAGTCAAACGTTTAGCCATCTGCTCAACTGACTAAGCAGCTCCAGAAGCACAACCAGAGTAGGTGAGCACATCAAGCTGAAACAGCAAACAGCCCAAATAGCTCAGTGCTGACAGACATCAGAGTCATGGTAAGTTGATACAGCCTCAGAATAAGCCACAGCAGCAGAAGGGCATGGAATAATTTCCCTGCATTTCTTCCTTACTTTAAGCAGATGGATGCAAGTCAGAAAATGTTTCCCTGAGGCAAAACAGCATGTCTTCACTCAGCAAGCAAAGTATGCAGCAGGTACACAAATCCCCAAAGTCCAACTGGCACCACTGCCAAGAAGATAGAGATGAGTACTGCTTTGGTGGGAAAGGGGCTGATCTACACTGGGCCAGATCCAAGGCAGCACCCTGAGACACTGTGGCTCAGCAAATGCTGAGCTGCTTGGGCATCTAAATGGCTGCTAGCCCAGGAGCCTAAAGAACACCAAGTACACAAATAAGTGACTCTGGAGCTTGAGTGTCTCCTCATCTAGAAGCAAGCAGTTGCAGGGTATGCTGCTCTGAGGCAATACAGGTCCCTAAAACACAGCTCTGAGGCCTCAGCCTTCACAGTTAAGGGTGTCCTGGATGAAAGCAGTGATTCCAAAACACAGTAGCTGTGCAAAAAGACAAGCATCTTGTTAAAGATTTTTTCTTCTCCGTGTGTAATAAAAAGAGTGTATCTGTCTGGTATATCAGCCATGCTCTGGGTAGAATCTTTGAGGACCTAAAGCCTTGCAAGAGAAATAAACTTTCTAGTTTCCTAACAGTTTCTGAGGACATCTAGTTTCATAACAGAAATGGGGATTTACTTGAAAGATAAAAATTTCTCCAAGTTTAAGTTAACATGGAAAGAGACTTTCAGTCTCTCTGCAGTAAGAAATTCTTTCCTCTTGCTTGCTGAAGAGAAAAGTTTCAAACTCCTGAAGCAAACTGCTCCTATCTGAACAGCTGACAAATGCTGCACTGAGGATGAGCGTCATTTTCCACCAGAATTTATTTGCAGTTTATGTATCAGAAAAAAAAAATTTTCCTTGCAATAATGAGCATATTTTCTGTTAGATCCAAATACTTATCTGTAGCTATTGCTACTTCCTCAGAATGCTTTAAAAGAACAAAAAAACACCTTTCATTCCTGTAGGTCATGGGATCAGCTTATGAACTACAGTTTTTAAAAAATAAATCAAAATGTCAGATGCAATTGTAGTCACAAAATAACCTTGCAAATTAACAGAATCAATTAACATTCCAACATTAGAGCCACAGAATTAAATCACAACAGTTTTTAAAGACCAATAGTTGGAAGCTCAAGTCCCATGTTCAAGAGTTTTAAACTGCTGAAGTCAAAATAGAATTTTCAGAAGCAATTAATTTATAGCCTTCAGAACTGTTGCCCAAAACATTTGGTAAGGATTACAGACTTACAGAGAGTTTTTCAACAATAGCTGCTTTGCCCTGGAACTGCTGTCCTTCCCATGTAAGGCATGACGCATCGATCTGGGGGGAAAAAAGAAAAAAACAATAATCAACCTGCCTAGGTAACCCATAAGTAATCTTGGTAAGAAACTTTGTCTGCTTGGCATATATCCTTTGAATCCAACTATTTGGAGACTGTCTCAAAAGAAAGATGGAAAGAAACCACAAAGAAAAAGTTTGGAAAAGTGTGGAATAGATTAGATTAAATTTCATTATCATGACTCTACTAACAAAACAGCTCCTGCCTTTAGATCAAAGGTAGCTTCCAGGATAAAATTTAATGGATATTAAAAAAAATAACCCTATGGACAAAAAGTTAAGTATGTGTAGAGACAAAAATATATAAAGAAATCTGGCAAGGTAAGTTGTCTCATCAGCTTCATCATCAGTGACTGAGGTGCTTCACCCTACAAGCTCTTCCAGTATGTCAGGAAGGATGTTCTGAGCATGCTACATCAGGTGCAACAGGCACAAGCAAGAAACTTTCTACTCTGCTCAGAATACTCTGCTTAAACCAGAGTCACAATATCCTAGTGTTGACATAGTTCTGCCCTCTCAAATCTCATTTTAAACCTTGGCAAACAGACGCAGATTGTAACAGTTTGAAACCTGCTGCCCCTGGTGGGTGGAGATCTGAAACCCTAAACCAGGTACAAGCCTGAATGAAAGGGGCGTACACCTGTCCTATTCCCACTCCCCTTTTCCTGTCTTCCGGACTTCCTGCCAAGGTCTATAAAAGGGGCAAGAAAGGCATGCCTCTCGCTCTCCTCTTGCTCTTGCTCCCTTGCTCTTGCTGTTGCTCCTTTGACCTTCTACCTGGGCACACGCTGCTCTGCTGCTCCCTGTGCTACACGTGGCCGTGGCCATCTTGGAGACCTGGGCCTGATCTACAGACTCTTCCCTGCCTCCATCCATGTCCAAGGATTGTGCATCCAGCTTCAATCCACCTCAACCCAGCGAGATCCAGCACCGGGGAGCCTCAGCATAGCATTTGGGTTTTGTATATTTGGAAGTTTAATCTTCCTTACCTTGTTGTTCCTACAACCCCCCTTCCCTGTTAAACCCCTACCCTTCTTCCTTTCTGTACCCTGTTAAACCCCTTCCCTTCTTCCTTTCTGTTCCCTGTTAAATAATATATTTCATTTTGTTAACTTTCAATTTGGTGCAAGGTTTTCATTACCCCTGCCTTCCTTATTTACCTCTCTATTTGGGGAAACTGAGGGATAAGGGAGCTGGGACACAGTTCTGCCTTCTAACCGGTACAGAACACAGATTTAAATGGGTTTCCACTGAGCTCAAAGTCTGCCTGCTGCCATCTTCAAACAGCACCCTCACCCTATACCTGAAAGCCCATGTTCTTGTGCACCCCATCACAGATGGGCTATTCCTTGACCTCCTTAAGTTTAAATATGACCAGGAACATGATTCCCAGCTCCTTCCCATCCAGCCTTCCACTCTCACTGAAGCTCTGAATGTCTTGGCAGAAAATGGCAGACTCCAAAGAACTCCATTTGTGTGGTCTCTGGTAGATTTTCCAGGTCCTGTTCTTGATCCACATCAAAAATCTACTTCTTTCAGCCACATGTACTGTGCTGAACCAGCACAGGAGTCACAACCACTCTAAAAAAAGCTCCTGGTCCTCCATGTATCATCAGAAGGAACTATACTGTGCAGCAGGAGCTAAGAGAGCAAATCAGAGGTATCAGCTTTGAGAACAAAACCCAAACCCTCCTCTAACCTAAAAAGTGCTGTGGCTGATAAAATGGCGTGAAACTAAGAAAACGCTCTCCACTACAAGCCACTGCTTACAGCCATCCTGGTTTTTTTCGAGTCTAAATGTCTATAAGTAAGGCGGACAAAGCTCAAAATAGAAGGGAAATGTGAAAGAAATGCAATAAATAAAAGCTCAATAAGTGTGACTGCACTGATTGACATTCCAGAGTGAAGACAAAACCCACTATCCCACCCTGTGTATTCCCACACATCAAAAGAGGGAACCTAGACAGAAAACAGAAGAGAGCTCCAGCTCCCTTTTTGTACTTACATATATTGCTCCTAACTGAGTCCTGTCTGTATCAAAAACCTGGTAGTAATGTTGTACAAAGCTGGACCCAATCTGCTCCCAGATAGGCTTGTCTCCCATTCTGAATCCTCACCTAAAGCTGTAAAACAACAACAAAAATCATCAGAAAGAACCATCACTTAAATCAGCATAGCACTTGGCTTAATACTTGTGTATTAGGCATGAGTAAACACAGATTCTGCCAGAGGAAAGAGTAGGGTAAATCTCACCTCTGTATCCTAGATTTTTGTGAAACAGAAATCTTGGATACCAGATGGTTTAATTTCTTATTATAGCATTTGGTGATTTCTAGAGTTATTTCAGTGTGAGGTCACAGCTCACATACAAAAAGGGGAGAACAAGAACAACAACAACAAAAAAATTAGTAAGCATTACCACCCCAGAGTCACATATTTCAAAAATTACACCATGTGAAAAAGTTAGCAAATGTTTGCTGTTACAGTTGATCTCATTTACTGTGAGCAACTGATGCATCAGATTGTCTGCAAGTGGCTTACACCAACAGATTTATCTCTTCAGCTCCTCAGGTATCCCACCATCTAGAGGCCATCCTAAAAGACTGTGCTTCCAATGGTGCACAGGTAGAAATTAACCACAAGCTCTTCGCTTGACACGAGCTTACTTTCTTCTTCTGTCCCTGAGGCTGAAGTACCCTTGACATTTATCTTTGAACCTGAAGTAATTTCAAGATACAAACTGATTTTTCACAGTGGTGAGAATCTGCAGTTCCCAGTGAAGGTGCTGGAAGCTCAGAAGCATCCCACGCTTCTGAACATAAGTTTATTTTAGAGGGATTAAACACACAGCATGTGCAGCAGTCCAGGCAGACCTGGTCTAGAAACTATAACACACCATCAGTATGGATGGTTGCTTTACCATGCCATTGAATTTTTCAAGAAAGCAAATTCAGTTCTTATCCTGGTATCTCTGAAAGACTGAAGAACTGTGCTAAAATTCAAAACACAACAACGTTGCACTCAAAACACACTACATAGGATTTTAAGATCCTAGTTTACTTCAAGCAAATTAAATTGTTTTTCTAGTGAAGACCTGTCAGCCACTAGTCCCTCTTTGCAATCCCTGACCCTTGAGCTACAGGTCTCTAGTGCACTGTGAGTTTGGAAAGGTCTGAAGTTCTGGTGTAGGACACAGGACATCACAGTTATTTTGGCTTCCTTTAGAGGTCAACTACACATCTCTTTAAGATCTGACCAATTTCCCTAAGAGAAGCAGAAAACACATTCCTAAGATGCCCACAGCGAGCATTATCAGGCCCAGCTTTCTGGGTGCAGCCAGACAAGGGAGTTCTTTTCACATTTTAGGCCTTTGGCTGTTTGAACTTTACTCATATAAATGGGAACTGAAATGGGTTCAAACCCTAGGCCACAAGTTTTAAGGTTATACAATTTTGGCCAGACTGCAGAAGCACCAATATCTTACATTAGATCAACAGCATAACAGGAGGAACTACATAAGTTTTCAGGGTGGTATATTCAACCACCAGAGTAAAATATAACCCCAAAACAACTGCTAGAGCTTAGACACCCAGGCTACTCGAGTGTGAAAATGGCTGGCACCCGGGGAGCAGAGAATGTGTCAGCAGAGAGAGCTGGCCAGGTGGTTCTCCCAGTTCAGAAAGGGACCTTTTGTAGCCTGGAAAAAGAGAGGTTGAGCAGGAGGAGCTGTGGTTCTGCCCCAGAAAAGCATGCCACAGACTGAATTTTGACATCCACCTGATGCTGGTGGCACCATGCTGGTTGTTAAGAGCACTTTAGAAATGTATTTTGCTCAAGGATGAGGTCAAAAATGGACTTAAGATAGAAACCTGCCTATCCCACTTTTAAACATCCTTATTTCAGCACCAGCCACCTCGGCAATGCAGCCAACATCAAACTCAGGAACCCTGCACACTAACACGGACTCAAAATCCAAAAATTTGTTGCCACACCACCAATACTTCAGTATTCCAAAACTATCTACAGTCTGGCCTCAGTCCCCATCACAAGACCTCCACTAATCATTGCAGTATATGACTCAGCCTGAAGAAGCTCCACCCAGTGTGGTCACTCCTTTGGGAAAACGGATCACAGGTTAAAAGCTCATCCAAGTCCAACAGGTTTAAAAACCAAAATGCTCACACTCCTCCAACTTAAACCTTCTTCTTCACAAGAGAGATTGTACCGATTGCACATCCACAACTGCCACATACCAGCCTAACCTGGAGCAGATGTGGAAATCAAGCAACTTCAGCCTGTGCTAAAGGATTTCATCTTCAAGAAAACCACCCTAAAGCCATCCCACCAGCTTCCTGGAAATTTCACTTGGGGATATCCACCCTGCTGCCACAGAGGATCCTCATGCGTCACTTGAAAAACCAGAAGTACTAATATTTAATTTTGAAGTCTGATGTTTCCACTCCAGACCTGCAGGTGTGTAGTTTGGGATGGCAGTGGTACAGCCAACCACCAGGACACATGAATATCACTTCTGGTCACTTTTGAATGGATTGTCATAGCTTCAACTGCAATCCATGAACTCACATCACTACTAAATAGCCTCCCTAAACACTCAAGTGCAAATCTAGTCAACAGTATCGATGCTAAACAGCCACACACCCAACACTGAGATGAAGTGGTGAACAGCCAGCACCCAACAGCTTATTGTCCTGAAGGTAAAGTCTGTTAGCTATTGTTAAATTATTTTACACACAACATGTATTCACTCTTAACAGCTCACTGTACCACCACAGGAGCCCATGGGCTTTCAGCTCCTCAAGGCACAACAGCTTCACTCAAGCACCAGGTGCTTTCTGTTTCAATCCTGAAACTGTGAGAAAGCCTTTGAGATGGTGAGAAATCCAGGAATTTGTATTTTAAATGCTGAAAGTAGTATTATGGCTTATAAAACTAAGAATTAGTATGCTAGCTTGCTATCTCCTTCTAAAAAAGATATTTCTATTTTGGCAGCTAAAATCCTAGACTGATTGAGGAGCTCTAAGATCATCAAGTCCAACCATCAACCCAAGACTACCGTGACCACTAAACCATGTCCTGAAGTACCACATCTATATGTTTTTTGAACCCCTCCAGGTGTGGTGACTCTACCACCTCCCTGAGCAGCCTGTGCCAATGCCTCACACCTCTAGAACACCATTAAATAAAACAATTCTTTTAAAATAATATAAAATATATAATACATGTGATCTGTTAGAATGTTGATTTTTATTTTTTTTTTTTTTTTTTTTTTGGTTACAACCTTGCTCTTTTTCCTGTGCCACTTATACGTGGTTTTGCTGGACACTCTCACTGGAAAGGTTTTTTTCTATTTTCCTCTTCTGATTTGTCACCTTTTCCTCCATGCTGTCTTATGTTTTCTGCCTGTCATCACAAATATAAGAAGCTCAGAGATGTACCTAAAGAAAGAACAAGATGGGAACAATCTTCTGTCATCAAATCCAGTCCCTCACCGAGGTACAATCCACTTAAGACTGTTTTAATAATTTTATCAGGCTGTTTTCATGAGATATATGTAATATAAAAGCCTTTTAAGTTCTATTCCAAAGCCAGGAAGAACGCACATGTCCTAATGCTGTCAAACACTAGGAAAACACAGATGTACCTCACTCATCCAGCCACATCCACCTCCCCATGGCTCACTCCAAGTTTGGTTACAAAGGTGAGAGTATTCAGTTAAATATTAAGCTGGACAAAAGATGTTTCAATACGCTAGAAGCACAGATGTGCAACATCTGTCCTTTTAAAGGCACCTGCTCAAAGTTACCACTGTCTTATTGCATATTCCACTTTGATTCCCTATGGAAAAGGAGCCTATTTCCTTCAGCTAATTATTTTTCTTTCATCACTTCAAACCTACCTTGTCACATCCACTCCACACCACCACAGGCCCTTTGACTAACAGCTCCCTCACAGAAGCACAGCAGCAAAGCAGAGCTACCAAAACAGAGTGTGATACTTCTACCCACACTACTCCATTTCTTGGAATCTGCTCATATGAGAGAATTTATCCCCACCTCAAATACCACCAGCAGCTGGTGCTCAGCTGAAACTCAATACAGAGCACAAAAGCTGTGGCTGCCAGCAGCTCTCTCAACAGGTACCTGCTAACGCTGCAGAACTTGGATCTCTGCTCCACAGGGGACTTCTCAGTGAAGTCTAAATCAAATTTTCCAATACCTTTGCCAGGCCACACACTGACACAACCTCAAGTGTAAAATCCAGCACTCTACACACCTCTTGCCATGCTTCCTAGCGCTCTACATGGCACCACAGTATCCCCAGTATCTCTTCCTCCCTCCTTCATCCCTCAGCCCAGCACTCCAGCTGCTGTGCAATGACTCGGGGTACACAGCACCCCTGAACACACAGCACATCTACAAGAGGGAGTTCACGCCCTAAAACATGCAGAACTTCCCAGTTCCCCACCACACCAGGCTTTCCTACATGCAGTCAGAGATTCCCAACATCAACAGGACTTCCACAGGGCCCCCCAACCCTGGCAGCCCAGCCTCCACAGTCCACACAACCTAGCACTTCTGTCGCTCCTCAACCTTGCTGAATCATCCAGGGCTTTGCTACACCCCAAAACCTCTCTCTCCCTTTCCCCACAGATTCCTCCAGCTTGTTGTGTTCTGTGCCACCAGCCTTGCTGGTCCAGTGGGGTGACAACCACCTGAACCATGGTGTCCCTTCATTTCCTTTGGCACGTGGCAGATGGCACCAATACAATATGAAGCCACATGACCCAGAGAGCAGGAGCACCAAGGAGGAAGATGCATCAAGGTTGAGACAGAGGACTAGGAGAGAGTGGAGCCTTCACATAGGCCATGAGTGACCTCGAATCATCTCCTCCTAGGGTTACACTGACCCCAGGCAACCCACTTTCTGTTCACAAAACCCCAGAACATAGAATCTTTTCTATTGCCTGTCCCAGCTTAGGTGTTCCTATCTACACTCGTCCCTTTTCCTTCTCTGCCTCAACTCTGGGTGTGAGAGACCAGCACTAACACACCAAGACTGCCTGTAACTCCCAAGGGGAGCACAGTCCTTGTGAGACCCATTTC